TGCACCCATCAGTTAACCTGTGTTGTGTGTGTATGTAATTGTATTGTGTGTGTGTGTATACGTTATTTTATTGAATGAAGGAAGTGGATTTTAAGAATGGAATCTTTTCCTGGGAAAATAAATAGTATTTACAGGGAGGAAGGGAGAGGAAGAGGGGGGCGGGAGAGAGAGGAGGAGGGGGGGGGGATATCTGGCTTTTAACAGCTGTGTTCCATTGTGCGTGTGTGTGTGTAGACAGACTTCCAACAACCTGACACAGGCTGTTGAAAGGCTGCCGTGAGCCCTGACTGTGTGAGATAACCACAGCTAAGCTCCCATTTCCTGACCCTGGACAAGTATTTTTATGGTGGAAATCCTGTGTTCGGATTGCAGGGGGGAGAGAGAGGAAGTGCTCTTTCTAACCGTATTCCTTATCAGTAACTGGACACCAACCGACTTTTAATGATGACTCTCGCGCATTCACTCTCGCGCAGACACATACTCACACACAAGTCAACCAGCCCAAAGGAAACACACCGGAGCAGCACCCATCACTCTCCTCACCAGCTAACCTAGGACAGGAGGATGCCATTCAGCCCCTCAAGCCCCCATTCTATGAGATCATGGCTGATCTATGCCTCAACCCCCTAACCTCGATGCTTTAGTAATGGGATCTGTGTGCGGGTTGGTGCAGAGGGCCGGCTGGCATTGACAGCTGGGCTTTCTTTGAGATATTGGAAATGTTTCATTGAGTCTGTGGGGGTGGGGCGGGAGAAAGGATCAGATTCCAGGGAAGGTTCAGCTTTCTATTGCAGCTGATGGCTCCTTCTCTCTTCCCCCCACCGCCAGTCTATTCTCCATCTCTACGTAGGCACCTGGAGAAACTCATTTTCTATTAGCGTCACAGTTAACGTCAGCCTGAGGAGGGGGGGGGGGGGAGTGGGTGGGGGACGCTGGGTGTAAGGTCTCACCTGAGGACAGCGCCTCCCATGACACTGTACCTCCACTGCCCCCCCCTCCCACACACACACAGCTCCTCCTAGACTGAGCTGAATGCCCCCCCAGCCCCCACCTTCCGCATGCAATTAACACAAGTCAGCAGAGCCCAATCTGGAACCTAAAGATTGTCTATGCGGCTAAATTGACCTTAAGTGCGATTTACCATCAGAGTTTCCTGGCTGGAGCAGAAGGGGGGGGGGTGTGTGTCATTGACAAGGCCAGAGAGAGCTTCTCAGATCGATCGATGAAAAGGCTTCCGTTGCAGACTGGTGGATGTACTCAGTACAGTGCATTGATTCATCGAGAAGCTGAAGGATATGATTTCATTTCACATCCAAATGCTCCTTCCTCTCTGCGGCCTTTTTAAATAATACAGGGATATTTGTGTGTGTGTCCATTGTGCTGTTGGCTATTTTTAGCAGTCGGGGAGAGAGAGCGAGAGAGTGAGAGAGAGAGAGCTGGAGAATATGAATGAAAAGCTGAGCTTGTGTGTGTGTGTGTGTGCGCGCGCTGTATGTGGGCAGGCAGCGGAGCAGTCTGTAAGCTTTCTTTAGCTAATGATGACTGGGAAATAGGGCACTCGACTGAATCATGCCATTTAAATAAGAGTCGGTAGCTTTTAAATTGCTCGCTCGGAAGCCAGGGTTAGCAACAAGCATACATACGCACACACACACATACCGCTCAGCGCACACACACACACCGCACACCCCAAAAAATACACGCGCACACACACACACGCGCCCCAGGCCTGATTCTGATCAATGTAAATTCTCTGCTGATGGTAAACAGCAGCCTCACTGACGTACGTCGTTCGCTGGTAGGAAGTGACTGTGTTCAGCAGTGAATCACTGGCTCTTCTTCCTGCCCCCAACTTGGTCTGCTGACGGCTATACAGAACAGCATCCTTCCTCTCTATCTCTCTCTTTCTCTTCCTTTCCCTCCCATCCTCTCTCTCGCCCCCTCTCTTTCTCTCTCTCTTTTCCTCTCTCTGTCTCCCCCCCACCCCCACCCCGAGCCCATTCTTCCTGTCCTGTTAGCAAACGTCCTGAAACACCCCCCCCCCCACCCTGAGTCTTGCTGTCATTTGTCCCAGAATTGGACAAATGAATTGCTTCCAAACCCAGGTTAGGTGGAAGGAATCTCTCGCCATTTTACACCCCTTTTAAAATTGTACTTTTTAGCCTCGCTCACTGTCTTGAGAGCAAATCCCCCCTCACCCCACCCCCCTGCCCTTTGTCTGATTCTCTCAATGATTCTCTGTTCAAGAGCAAATGAGATTGATTTGTGTCAGGAAATAATATCTGGGGATACAACACAACACAGGGTATAGTCTGGGACACGGCATGTCAAGTGATGGCCAGGATGGTGGAAGGTGAACTCCATGGACCTTAGTCTTCTTTCGCCGAGTAAATTCTCATGTGACTCAACGGCCTCACAGCCTAAGAACAGTTGGAATTTGAGGTCTCGGCCCTCTCCCTAGCTTGGGGGACGGAGACTGTTCCCAAGACTGTTCTAATTTCCCTCCCTCCCACCGCACGAAAAAAACCCAAGCCAACAGCAGCCTTGCCTTCAGTTGCTGACGCTGAACAAACCCTCTGTGAGGGCAGACAAAGCTGTGGATTTTTCGAGCTCCTTTGTTCCCTCTAATAATAATCTGCTCCACCTCTCGCTCAGCCACACACACACACACACACACATGTCAATGCACGATACGGGCTGTGTAATATTAACTCAATTACCATCAACCACACTGAGAAAACAGAGAGAGGAGAGAAAGACACACACACACATATGGGGTGGGGGGAGAGAAAGAGACACACACACACACACACACAGGGGACAGAGAGAGTGACACACACAGAGAAAGAGGGGGTGAGGGAGAGAGAATGGGAGAGAAAGAGAGGGGAGGAAAGGGGGGAGACATAGAGAGTGGATGGGGGAAGAGAAAAGAAAGTGAGAAATGGGGGGGAAACAAGGGAACGGAGGAGGGGGAGCGAGAGGGAGAAAGGGAGGAGAGAGAGGAATGAAGCCCATTCCCATTCATTCTCCTGTGAAGCTGTGCGTGAGGCCTATTGAAATGCTCTGTATTGTATCTGAGAGGCTCAAGCCTTTTGTCGTCTCCAGTTTTAGACCCTTTGAGGCAGCTATAAATGGCTGTGGGAGAGGAAGGTGGTGGGGGTGGGGGGTGCGCCTGTGAGATTAGCTGCTTTTGTTTGTGTGTGTGTGTGTGTGTGTGTGCGCGGGGGAGGCTATGGTTTGGTTTTACCTGATCTCAGGCCGCCTCAGAAAAGGAAATCGTGCCAGGATCTTTGATATTCGCTCCTCTTTTGTGAGTGAAGTGGGTTGGACTGATCAGGGGGACCTGAGAGAGACAGAGACACAATGGCCTGGTTCTGTGTGACTGTGTGATTGGCAGTGCTGAGCGTGAGCGACTGTGCGACTCAGTGACCAAGTATGTATTGTATGTGCGTGTGAGTGTTTGGGTGTGTGAGAGTGACTGTGTGACTGAGTAAGTATGTGTTAGTCTGGGAATGAGTGTGAGGGTGACTCGGTGAGTGTCTGTGTGTGTGAGTGACTGTGTGTGTGTGTGAGTGACCGTGTGTGTGTGTGTGAGCGACTGTGTGTGTGAGAGAGTGATTAGTGAGTAACAGTTCGACCATTTAAAAAAAAAGGAAATGAAATGACTGGTCTTTGTGTGTCTCAGGTTTCAAAGGGACAGAGTTTAGCAGCTGATGGTATGAAGAGGCCAATATGACTTTCAGAGATGGGGTTGGGTGGGGGTGTGTGTGGATGTGGATGTGGGTGTGTGGGTGGGGAGGGGGTGGTGGCGGAGAGGGGGTTGTCTTTTCTTATCGGTTTGCAATATCCTGGCCCGAGATCTGTTTAACATTGTTTAATCACTGGGTTCCAGTGCCCTGATGTTTTAACAGCATGCAATTGGCTGCCGCAGTCCGCCCACAAAGTGCGCAGTCACTACACTTTACGGTGTGTCCTGTGAAGCGCTTTCAGGCGTCTCAACTTCCGTGATCAGGCGCTGTATCAAACTCCAGGGTTATTATTATCATATTGTTTGCAAATCTGACTCTCGCAGCTGGAACCAGCCGGGGAGGGGCAGGTCGGGGCTGGAATTTCAGTATTGTTTCAGCCTGACTTGAGGAATGAGCACTGACACGGTGGGGGGGAGGAATGTGGTCCTAGTTTTGCTTTGAAACCTGGTCTCCCCTTTTATTGAGGTTAGCTCGCACCTGCAGCACCCCCCCCCCCTCCCTCGAGTGTCCAACTGCTGGGGGGTGGGGGGGAGGGAGGGCAGGGCTGGGAGATGGCCTCGGGGTGGGGGCAGTGGATTATATTTCCCATCTCCAGCCATCTGGTCTCAACACTCAGTCAGTCAGTCATTCAGGGCCCCTGAATTTCCTGGTGCCCTCAGCCTTCGGAACATCCAAGGCCGGGGGTCAAACGGGATATTTTCTTGTTGGTTTGGGGGGGGGGGGGGTGGGGGGGGAAATTGTGCATTTTTAGTCGGGAATTTGGGTCACTGGTTTATTTTGAGAAGTGTGCGAGGGGGAGGGAGTGGGAGAATGTGTGTGTGTGTCTATGGGGACGGGGAGTGTGTCGGGAGGAGTGATTGACTCACTCTCACACACACCCATACTCTCACACACACACACTCTACCTACGCACACACACACACACACACACACACACACACACACACACATGCACAAAACAAACACGGGACTGGTTTCCTAAGCACAGCTGTGTGAAGTGCAAACACAGCGAGACGGGGAGAGCGAGAGAGAGCGAGTGCCTCGACGTCACAAGCAGTCGCCATTTCGCCCACAAAGCACACAGTCACTACACCTTGCGGTGTATCCTGTGGAGCGCTTCGAGGCGTCTCGAAGGCGTGATCAGACGCTGTGTCAGACACCGGGATTATTATTATTTATTAATATTAATATTATTGTCACTCACGACGTCACATTTTCTTTCCCCCTCTCGTTTCAGGTCAATGACTTCCTATCGGGACGGTCGCCTTTGACTCTGGCTCTGCGTGTGGGCGATCATATGATGTTCGTGCAGCTGCAGTTATCGGCCCAGCAGGCGGGGGGGCAACTGCAGCACCGACACGTGATCGCCAGTGGCGGGGGAGGGGGAGGAGGCGGGGGGCCGCGGACCTCCTACCACAGGCCCGGCCCCGGGCCGGCCTCGAACTGTAGCCACACGCCGGCCTGCCCCAGGCCTCCCCCCGCAACCTCCCACCCCCCCACCCCGACCCCCAGCCCCAACCCAGGCACCCCGACCTCGCTCACCGCCGGCTCCTTCACTTCGCACGGAGCCCGGACGCCAACACCGAACCCCGGCCAAGATGTAGCCTCTTCCTCCTGCGCTGAGGTGAGTAGCCGGGTCCCTCGCCACCAACTCCCCGAGTGGTGGATTATACACCGGTGTGTAGTGTGTGTTAGTGTGTGCCCTGCTCTGTATCCCCCCACCCTGCTCTGTATCCCCCTGCCCTGCTCTGTATCCCCCCACCCTGCCCTGCTCTGTATCGCCCTTCCCTGCCCTGTATCCCCCCACCCTGCCCTGCTCCGTGTCCCCCACCCCTCCCTGCTCCACCATTAGCGGTCAAGCCTTCAGCCTTTCTGAGAGAGAGAGACTGTGTGTGTGTGGTTGTGCGTGCGTGCTCAGGGATGCTATCCTGTTGTTGTGTGTCCCGTCAGAGAGAGACGAGGGGGTGGGTTGGTGGGTCATGTCGGTGATGAGATCCGTTGGCCTGAAGGATCTTCTCTCCCTCCACCACCACCACCGCCCCCTTCTCACCTCGAACGTGCTCTATGAACCGACTGAAAGCTTCCACGCTTGAGATATTCCATGTGGGAGGAAGCGAGAGGGGGAGTTGGGTACAACTGACCCCAGTGACCTGCTCAGGAAGCGCCTGTTACAGTCAGCAACGGGGAGACATAAGCAACATTGAGAGCTTATCTGTGAGGCTGTGTCTTTCCTGCTTCCTGCCCCACATTCCATCAGCGGCCAGCGATCAGCAGGCGACAAAGGCCCTCGCTCACTCACGCGCTCGCTCACTCACTCACGCACTCACTCACTCACGCACTCGCTCGCTCACTCACGCACTCGCTCACTCACGCACTCGCTCACTCACGCACTCGCTCACTCGCCTCGCTCACTCACGCGCTCGCTCACTCACTCATGCACTCGCTCACACACGCGCTCGCTCACTCACGCACTCGCTCACTCACTCACGCACTCGCTCACTCACGGACTCGCTCACGCACTCGCTCACTCACGCACTCGCTCACTCACGCACTCGCTCACTCACTCACTCACGATCATATCCCCCCCCCCGGGGGGCGAGGGGAGGAGGAGGTTCGGGGGGTGAGGGATGGGGGTGGGGAAGAGAGGAGATAGATAGAAAAGTGCCTTTTTGCGTGTGGTAAAACAGAAGGAACTTGCAATTGATTTTTTTTTCGCCCACGCCATTGCGACTGATTTGACACGATGTCTTTGAGATTAATTCCTCTCCTCTTGTTCACCTCTTTTTCCCACCCCCACCCCCTCTTCCCCTCCCCCCCCTCCCCACACACACACAAACACACATACACACGTTTCAGTTTGATCCCTGTTCAAATCCCTGACTATCCAAAGCCTTGAGACGTCCTCCCGACGTGAAAGGTGCTGTGCAAATGTTGCATTGTGTGTGTGTGTGTGTGTATATAGGAAAATAGGAACAGGAGGAGGCCATTCAGCCCTTCGAGCCTGTTCTGCCATTCTATTATATCATAGCTGATCTGTACCTCAACTCCCCTGATCCCCCGACCCCTAACAAACCTCTGTCCGCTTACGTCACAGGGAGAATGTAGCACGAAAACTCCGGCTGCCGCTGGCACCGCGACCAACAGCAAGAGTCGCAAACCGGGCGCCATCATCGAGAGCTTCGTCAACCACGCCCCCGGGGTCTTCTCCGGAACCTTCTCAGGTGAGAACCGGACAGCTTGCCCGTTTGGCTATTTGTGTGGTGGTTAGACAGGCGGGCACCCCAGGCAGGCGGGCACCCCAGGCAGGCGGGCACCCCAGGCAGGCGGGCACCCCAGGCAGGCGGGCACCCCAGGCAGGCGGGCACCCCAGGCAGGCGGGCACCCCAGGCAGACCCATTACAGAGGAACGAGAAGGGCCCTACTGTTGGATAATGCTTATTATATTGCCTTTTTGAAGCCACTGTATTGACTTGGCAGCGAGTGCAGTGCAGTGTGTCCCAGGGGATGCTGTCAGGTGTGGGCCACAGGTAGCAAACACTCAATACAGGACGTTGTGTAATAATGTCCTCGTGTCTCTCTCTCTCTCTCTCCCCAATCCAGGCACTTTGCACCCGAACTGCCAGGACAGCACTGGGCGTCCCCGGCGAGACATCACCACCATCCTGCAGATCCTCAACGACTTGCTGAGCGCCACCCGGCACTACCAGGGGATGCCACAGTCCCTCACCCAACTGCGCTGCCAGAGCCAGTGTGCCAACAACGCCAACCACGCCAGCGCCTCGCCCGCCCCGGCCCCCTCGCCCTCGCCCGCCGCACACGCCTGCTTCACCAAAACTACCTCGGAGGAGCCAGGGAAGCCCCCGCTCCACTCCCTCGTCCAGTGTCAGAGCCACATCCGCATGTGCCGATCACACGGTGAGTTACCCTTCCCACCACCACCCATCACCTCCCCCCTGCCGGGAATGGGTTAATGGTCAAAGCTGACCGTGGTGAAGTGTAGTGACTGTGGTTCGACTCCAGTAGTAACCTTGGGCAAGTTTCTTTACTCCACACAGAGCCTAATAATAATCCTCCAAAACCCAAAACAATAATAAATTGGTCATTTTCAATCTACAACACTTTGTGGGACATTGCTGTGCGCAATTGGCTGCCGCGTTCGCCCACAAATATACAGTCACTTCACTTTACAGTGTGTTCTGTGAAGCGCTTTGGGACGTCGAGAAGACGTGAAAAGCGCTATATCAAATGCAAGGATTATTATTATTATTATATCAAATGTAAGGATTATTATTATTATTATAGTTAGTTTGCCAGGCAGCGCTCTCTCTCGATGGCGAGCCATGTGGTTTCTTAACTGATTAAGAGTCCAACACAACAACTTAATAATAATAATAATAACAATCCTCACTTTTGATACAGAGCCTTATCGCATCTCAAAGCGCTTCACAGGATACGCTGGAAAGTGAAGCGACTGTGTATTTTGTGGGTGAAACTTGCATTTATATAGCATCCCAGAACGCTTGAAAATTTAAAAAAATTTCCAGCAGTTACCCCCCAACACACACTCTGGACTCCCCCCACCCCCCAAGCCTTGGGTCTTGCTAACCTGCGCCTAATACTTTCCGGAATTAGGTAAGCAGGGTGCATCCCTCCAGCGGGAGAGAGAGGGGGCACATTCCATTCCAACAATCTTATCTCTGGGATTTCCGTGTGGAGGCGAGATTCATGGAATTGGTTTGGAGTGAATTGTGGGCCAGGACACCGGGAAGAGCGGGGTGGGGGGAGAGAGAGAGAGAAGGGGGGGGGGGGGGAGAGCGAGAGAGAGAGGGGGGGGGGGGGGAGAGACAGAAACTCAATTGACTCTTTAACATCCACCTGGTGATAGCCTGGGGGCTGGGAGTCGGGTTTCTTAGTGGAAGTGCGAATGGCTCCTCGCACAGACGTGCGAACAAGGAAGAGAAAGTGGCTCTAGAGAGGGAGAGAGAAAGGGGGTAGAAAGAGAGAGAGAAAGTGGGGAGAGAGACCGTGGGGGAGGGGGAGATTTTAAGGAAGTAAATAGTGTTTTTGAAAAACAAACTATTTCAGGGCTTATGTCTTAGCTCCTCACTTGTGTGTATGTGAGACTGTGTGTGTGCGTGTGACTGAATGACTGTGTGTGTGACTGTTGTGTGTGTATATGACAGACTGTGTGTGTGTGTGTATATGACGGACTGTGTGTGTGTGTTTATATGACGGACTGTGAGTGTGTGTGTGTGTATGACAGACTGTGTGTGTGTGTATATGACGGACTGTGTGTGTGTGTTTATATGACGGACTGTGAGTGTGTGTGTGCATATGACGGACTGTGTGTGTGTATATATGACGGACTGTGTGTGTGTGTGTGTATGACGGACTGTGTGTGTGTGTGTGTGTGTGTATGACAGACTGTGTGTGTGTGTGGGTATGACGGACTGTGTGTGTGTGTGCGTGTGACTGGGGAGGAACAAAGACTCTCTCTCTCTCGTCTGGTTGCTGGCAGATGTCAGCAGCCTGTGGGAACTCGCTTCTCTCTCTATCTGTATGTAATCCGCCCACACAGCGGGTGCGGGGAGGGGATGGGGGGTTGGGGGTCGGCACATCTGCGTCAAAGATGGCTTGATGAGGGGGAGGAGGGGAGGGGCTGTGAGGGGGTGGGTGGGGGCGGCAGGAAGATGTGTGTGTGTGTGAGAGAGAGAGGGGGGTGGGAGGGGGGGTAGTGAGCACAGTGTAAGGTCAAGCTTTCACCTTGTGGTTTTTTTTACCTTATTTTTGTGCTCTGCTGAACGACATTGTGTCTGACATTGAAAGGAACTATTTAGTTAGCAGTTAATTCCATGTACCTCCCCCCCCTCCCCCCCCCCCCCCCCTCTCTCTTACACACTCTGTTGCTCTATTATGCAACGCGCAGGTTGAGAAAACAAATCAAATCTAATTTCTCTCTTTACGCAATAAATAAATCACCCGAATCAAATCCGTGGGGATGTCGCCGGGCGCAATCGGCTGCCGCGTTTCGCCCACTAAATACACAGTCACTACGCTTTACAGCGTATCGTGTGTTGCGTGCTCTGAGACTTCTCTCGACAACATGATAAGGCGCAGTATCAGATCGAGGATTATTATTGTTATTGTTTATAGATAACAAAAAACATTATTATTCATAGATAATAATAAACATCATTGTTATTAATAAACAATGATAAATATTATTGTTATTTATAGATTTATAACAACAATAATAAATAATACTGACCTCTCTCTCTTGTCTCTCGGGACGGGCAGGTGACCGGCTGAGGCAGACGGAGAACAGAGCCACACGCTGTAAGGTGGAGCGTTTGCAGCTCTTGATGCAGCAGAAGAAGTTGCGGAGGAAGGCGCGGCGAGATGCCAGGGGGCCGTACCAGTGGCTGCCCAACCGCAAAGCCAACCGCACCAACAGCAGCTCCAGTCTGTCCAGCGACAGCAGCTTGGACTTGGACTATGAGGATTCCCTGTGGAAACCGGAGGTCAAGGCCGACCTCAAGTCCGGCTTCGTGGTGGCCTAGAGCGAGCGAGAGAGAGAGAGAGAGAGAGAGACACTCGTTACCGGACACATCGGCGGATACAGAGGGCAGGGGAGGGGGAGCCTGAGCCTCAGCCCAGCAGGACTTCGTTCGAACCTTTTTTTTTGTTTGGGGCGAGTTGGGGAGCAGGGGGGTGTGGGGCGGGTGGGGGGGTGGGGGGGGGCAAGAGAAAGACGGAAGAGGGGAGGGGAAAACAAGACAACCCCGAGTGCGAATGCCTGGGAGAAAGAGAAAAGGAAAAACTCGGAAGAAACCAACCCGGAGAAGGATTGCAAAGAGGAAACGAGTGTGAAAAAGGAGAGAGGAGAGAGCTCGCCTATCCAGGAGTTCAGAACTGTACATCCGTACAGAAAAAATACCCCACACCCCCCACCCCAAACACGCACATGGCACACACACACCATGCACCCCCCACCCACCCCCGCACACACGCACACGCATACACGCACACGAAGAAAGAAAAAAAAACCTTGGACGCTTCTCTCACGAACCAACCAACAGCAACGTCACAGTTGGAATTTTCTGCAGGTGAAGTCACGGGATTGGACAGCGAATCCGCTGACTGACGCCATTAGTGGTCGGAGGATACAGACTGCACACGTGTGTATGTTACATTGACACGGAGTCTCCTGGCAGGACACGCACACGGACACAAACACGGGAGCCTGATCGATGCCTGTGTTTTGCACCAGGAGCTGAATGAGAGAGGAGATGATGTGACCTTCTTTACCGCCTCTTGCTTAGTCAATGGGCGAGTGTTGGGGGCGGTGCTCCGAACCCTGAGTGGGGAGGAGGGGGTTCAACGTAAAAGACTGTTGGTCGGACAACACGAGTGAAGCCGAAAGGAAACTGCTCAGGACACAGTGAGGCTGAACGGACAGACTTTGTGGGAACCACAGCCTCACCCCAGAGACTCTCTTCAGCACCGATAAACACCGAGACTGGACTAGGTCACCGCGGACCAACCGTGGCTCCCCCCAAACTGAGCTGCTCAACCTCCAGTGCAATTGGCTCGACAGAGAGCGTCACCAGGGTGGGGCGGCGGGTGGGGTGGGCTTGTGTCCTTGTTACTCTGTGCACAGTGACTGGGCACGGAGCTAGGCTTGGGACTAAAGGTGATGAACGCTTCAACCCCCCCCCCACCCCCAACACTCAACCCAACTCCCACCCCCATATCTGCCCCCACCCACCCTAAGGGAGATGAGCAGCTGACACAGACTTGGGATTGCAGGGATGGGACAGTGGCAGGAATTTCCCACCAAACAAACCAGTTTGTTTTCCAAATAAGTTTGCTTATTCCCGCCCTACCCCCCACACCCTCGGCCTCCCCCCCCCCCCCCCCCCCCTCTGCAGCACTCAGAGCAAACAAGCAAACTTTTATTCAGAGAATGAATGTGACAACCATTTATTGTTAGAAAAGCCAACTGTTGTCATTAAGACAAATACCGGATTCCCACGGTTTGGGCCCAGCTCCGGGATTAATCCCGGGGCGAGGGGTTCCCGCGCGCGGTGTGGGGGAGGGGCTGTTACGTTACTGCAATATTCTGATCTTTACACCATCGCTTCCCTGGTGACCACACAAGTGCCTTCTCTTTCCCGAGTCTGGGTTTGTGACCTCGTCCTTTGTGTCTGTGCGCGTGTGCGGGAGGGTCTGTGTGTGCGTGTGCGGGAGGGTCTGTGTGTGCGTTATCCTCAGTGACAGTCTAGTGAAAGTCCGCCTCTTTCTCCCCCCACCCACCCAACTCCACCTCGATTCTTCGCTGCCCCCCCCCCCCCCCTCACTCCCAGTCAATCTATCCTCTTGTCACTGGACGCATGTTATCTGGTCCCACGTCTGGTTTGTGACAATCGAGTCTGTTTTACCGTAAGTTTTTCTATGATATATATTACGTGTGTAATATATATATACATATAAAAAACTGACAACGCTGTGCTATTACGATGCCCCTATCCTATGTTTTTTTTAAAGCAACAAAAAAAAACATAACAGAAAGCATTAACTCTGCCCTCTGCCGACCCGGCCCCCCCCCCCCCACCCCCCCATTCTACCTCCAGCCTCCCATCACACACAAACACTCTCTCAGTTTGGTTGGGGTTGGAGGGGGAGAGGACTGGGGGTGGGGGTGGAATCGATGTGTGAACAAACGAACGCACCGCCTCGTCTAAATATTCCGCGTTCTTATAGCCGATTAAATAACGATTTAAGAAAAAAAAAGACATTGTTCTAGCTAGCCTGGTGTAGCACAAAATGTGAGTGTAATAATTTATATACCACAACAGTGACTGTGAACTAGATATTTATTTGTGGATTTGGGGGGGAGGGGGGGGGAAGGGGGGGAGGTTTCGAGAAACAAAACAATTTCTTCTAAAAAGATGTCATGGTTTGAAGCCTAGAGCCGAGAATGAATGCAATCTCCTGTGTGGAAACGTGCCAGTTGTGTTATTTCTAAGCAATACATTTGCGGAACTTCGAGGGGGAGGGAGTGGTTGTGCGGCCATGGCTGGGGTTGGAGGGGGCCGAGTGAGGGTGGGGGCGAAAGAGGTTGAAACGCAATCCCATTCTAACCACTTCGGGTGTTCCATTTCTCACGGCCTCTCTCGCGCGCACACGCACACACACTCGCTCACACTTAGCATCACACACACACTCGCTCACACTTAGCATAACGCAGGTGCAATCCGCCACCCCCTGCGGAAGCTGTGAGAGAGCGAGCGGGCGGCGGTGAGAGGGGGGGGGGGCACGAGCGAGCGAGAGCAGAGGAGTAACTTATTGGGATGTAGATAAACGTTATGTGCATGTGTAATTAGGATTTGACAATGGTTTGTGGGGCAATACAGTAATTGGTTGTTATGTGGTAATCTGGATTTGTACAAACTTGTACTAGGGGTTTTTTTTTGTATAGCGTCATCAGAAGGAAAAAAAAAGAGCAAATTCCACAGGTATAAATAATAATAATAAATAAATAAATAAAAGACCAAATATTGGTGATAAGCAGTGAGTGCGGTTGTTTGTTTCGGATGTTCACCTGACGAGAGAAACCGAGCGCATGGGAGGCTTTCCTCCTCCCTTCGACCTAATCTCTTCCCCTTTCCACCCCAAGTTTCCTTTCCCCGCACACGCGCCACTGTTTACTGGCAGTGAGTTGGAACCTGGTTGGTAATCGGTTGGCGGATCATTTTCGGGGGTAATAATCCCTTCAAAAATAATCATAATTTGGTCACTTGACCCACGGCTCTTTGTGGGGGCGTCACCGGGTACAATTGGCTGCCGCGTTCCGCCCACAAAACACCCAGTCACTTCACTTTACCGTGTATCCCGTGAAGCGCTTGGAGACGTCTCGAAGACGTGATGAGGAGCTGCATCAAATGCCAGGATTATTATTAAAACAAATTATTATTAAGAAAATGTTATGAGCGCTGTGTGTCAACAACAGGTACGGTCACTAGACTTTACAGTAAAATCCCGTAGAAAAGCAAACGCTTTGAGATGTCCTGAGGTGAAAGGTACCGCGTTAAACGTGGGGATTATTACACTGATTATTACTCGGTGGGGGGGGGGGGTGCCTAAGCCTCGGACTGTCTGGATTGTCTCCTGGGCGGTGGCGCTGGGTGTCGGGGGACAGCCAGAGGGTCTCACTTCTCTGTTCCGGGCGGAAACCACAGCAATTTGAGCCGTTACACAACGGCTCTGATTGAGGCAGTTTGGGTCTCGTTCAGTCACTGTGGGGAGAGAGGGAGAGGGACACCTGATTCAATAACCCACCCCCACCGTCCCACAGGGAAGTGAAAGTGGGTGGAACCGTTGGCCACGGCAGCCGCTGGGAGGAACCTTTGGCCCGAGGCCAGTGGCCCCGCAATTCCCCCCCGGTCTCAGCCTTAAGACCTTCATTGTTTTTTTTAACGCTGGTGCAGAATTTTGGGGTGGGGGGACAGACAGATCGGGATAAGAAAGACCTTGCTCTTCACCTCCTGGCAACGTCCCCCTCTGAACGGGAGTGTGTGGGGGAGAGGGTTGGTGGGGGGAGGAGGAGGAATGGGGGGTTTTGGAGGACATTGTCTCCCACAACCTAGCGCTTTCCTACTCTCCCACCCAACACACTGCACTGGAGCATCACAGGCTTGGGGAGAGAAAGGGAGTGAGCTCTAAAAGGAGTTGGACAGGTACTTAAAAAGGAATAATGTGTAGGGGGTAAGGTAAGAGCGGGGGGAGTGGGGACTGCTTGGGGTGGGGGGGGGGGACTGGTTGGGTAAGAGCGGGGGGGGGGGGGTGGGGGGGACGACTAGTTGGTAGCTCTTCCAAAGAGCCGGCACAGGTAGGATGGGTCGAATGGCCTCCTTTTGTGCTATACGATGCTATGAGGGAGAGAGAGAGAGAGGAGGTGGGGGGGGGGGGAGTGTGCTCAATGTTTGAGAAGCTTTGTCACACACACACGCACTCACACACGCACTCACACACGTGTTAGTTTCTAGGTTGCACATTGTGACCTGATTCAGTTGGCAGGTGCAGGAGGCAGCCAACAGTAACCAACACAGCGAGGGGGAGAGGTGGGGTGGGGAGTGGGGGGGGGGGGGGGAGGAGTGGGGTTGGGGGGCTTTCCGCTACTGTGAGAGGGGGGGGGGGGTTCTTCATTATAAAGACAAATGGAGTCTAGTAGCTCGGTGGTTAGAGCACTCGCCTCGCAAGTGAGAGGCCTTGGGTTTGACTTTCAAACGGCATGAAACCTTGCACAAGTTTCCTTACTCCACACACGTACACGTGCACACATACATACACACACGGGCGCACACGCACACACACACACGCACACGCACGCACTCGCCTCTGTTTACCCGGCAGTAATTGGGAACCTGCTCGTTAATCGATTGACGGATCGCTTTTCCGGGGGTAATAATCCCTTCAGTAAATAAAAAAAAATGTGGTCACGCGATCCACGGCTGTCTGCGGGACGCTGCCGTTCGTGATCGGCCGGCGCGTTTTTCGCACACAAAACAAACAGTCACTACGCTTTACAGTGTATCCTGTGAAGTGCTTTGAGACGTCTCGAAAACGCGATTAAGGCGTTGTGTTAAAAGCAAGGTTTATTATTATTTTGTTTCCCACGACGCTTTCGGTCACATTCACCCCCCCACCCCCCCCCCCCCCGTCTGTTCCCACGGAAAACCCCCCCCCCGTCCCCCACACCCTCCCCGCCAGATAGCAGTGGGAATGTGCTTCGAGACATCCTCCT